CTCCACCTCCCAGGTTCAAGTGATTCTCCTGCCTCAGCCTCCCGAGTAGATGGGATTACAGGAGCCACCACACCGGGCTAATTTTTTATATTTTTGGTAGAGATGGGGTTTCACCATGTTGGCCAGGCTGGTCTTGAAGTCCTGACCTCAAGTGATCAGCTCACCTTGGTCTCCCAAAGTGCTGGCACTACAGGTGTGAGCCAATACACCTGGCCCACCCCTTCCTATTAAGGAGAAGTGACTTGCCTTTCTCCTTACCTCTGATTTGACTCTCCGGAGAGTCCACACAGAATGCACATTTTGAACGGCATCGTAAGTCATTACAATAGAGGGGTCAGTATTGAGGAAAACAATTTTCATTGCATGATCTACAACATATTGCACCCGTGACGAACCAAAAATACCTTAAAAATAAAATAGAAAACTCAGGTATAGAACAATGGGCTTTACAAGACTGATATTGATGAACAGAGCTCTTAAAATTGTTAAAGAACAACCAAGCCAAAGAGAGCACAAAATCTATTAATATCTTAAATAATTAACTCTGAATTTTTAATAAATTTACTTTAGGCATCAACTTCCTTAAAATACATTAAAGATGAGAGCATTACAAGTTTCAGCTTCACATACATGCTGTTAAATGTTAAGACTTGTGCTGACTCTCACCATTAAACGAATCAGCCACAGGTAAAAGGTCGATGACTTCTTCAACAACTTACTTATTTATAAATTGCATTCAACTATTCTGTCAAGTTTGACTTCCTTATTGGTTCTGTTCTTCTGTATGAAAGCTGTACTCTATAATTACTATTCAGACAGTGCTGAACAGTACACTGTTGTTGCCGCTTTACTAGTTACACATGCAAAACAAGGTTTTTCCCAGTGAGTTCAGCTTTTAATCTAAAGTACCATGGACTGGTCTCCATATCCTTATTTAACAGGAAATGTTTCCCACTCAGTTAAAATATTGAAAAATTTAAAAATGCGATTTTATAATCATAAGAAATACTTTATAAATAAAAATCATGCCACCATATCAAAATATCTACTATTAATACATCAGAGAATTTTTGGTTTTCTTCATACATATATACACACTTTATACATTTTTACAAAATTATAATCACACTGTTAAAGTTTGGTATCCTACTTGACATTACAAATAAGCAACTTCTAGTTAACTAAATGTTATTCAAAAATATGATCAATAATGGCTGCACTCCTCTCTCCAGTCCATGCCTCCAAGATGAGAAAGAAAAGAAGGAACAATAAAAGGGGCGCAGCCACGTGCAGTCTATTTGTTGCACAAACTGTACCCGACGCATGCCCAAGGACAAGGCCATTAAGAAATTCATCATTCGAGGCTGGGCACGGTGGCTCACGCCTACAATCCCAGCACTTTGGGAGGCCGAGGCAGGCGGATCATGAGGTCAGGAGATC